GAATTTTATCCTGACATATGTTGGAACGAGGAAGATAAAATCTTTAGAATGATTCAAATGGGCATTGATCTGTGAAATCTAATCCGAACAGGTGTGGTCATTTTTCTTACTCCAGATTATCTAAAAACCCAAGTGGTAAATATAAATTGAAACTTGAGTCCATACTAGTAAAGAAATTTAATAGTTACGCATTAAAGCCAATTTCTGATTATGAAAACTAAATTACTGAGAAGCTTTAATTAATCTACCTAGTTCATGGCATAGAGTTTAAGTAACAGTGATGGCTAGTAATCAGGTCATATCAATCAAAACAACACTCTTTTAAATAATGTTGTTTGACTGATAACGAAGGACCTTCTGTCATGAGAGGATCAGGAAAAAAACGAATACCTCGGTTGAAACGGAACTCAGGTATGGACGCTGCCTACACGACTCCTATGGTGTGCAGGCTCAATCAACCAATTTTACATTTAGATCATCCGAAATGAGCACATAAGATTATTGTCTTTCCACAAACCCGTCAAACAAACGTATTCCGACTGATAACTCAGTCTAAGGGTTTTTGGGGGGTGAATTCCGTTGGATTTTCAGAGAAATCCTATTATGACTGACCGTTTTGCATGCTTATTTATAGACTTCATATATCCTTGATTTGAATGGATGATGTAAACTTGAAAGGATTCCAGCTGAAGCCGTCGGGTTTCATAGTTCATCTGGTAAACCATACGCTATACAAAAGCGTAGACAATAAACATGGATTGGTTTCACACCTTCTAGAACTTGTCTAAAGTGTCATGCTAAAACCGATGACGGGAGGATATGGGTGTTTATCAGTTCTGCCTACGTGCAAAGTTTCCAATACATTTATAACCCTCTTGTTTATTCCCCAAGGGAGCTGGCCCCTGGATGTTATAAGAGTGAATTCAGTAAGTTGACGGTTTGCGACTAAATGTTTCAAGTTCAGAAGGGGACAGTTTGCATTTGCCTACATCCAAGTCAACCAACCATGCATGCACACAAACAGACAAATGTGAGCGCCAAACTCATCTAAGCGTTGATTTTATGCTAGAACCATTTTATGAATGCCAACGCCTCGTCTCTAAGTTGCTTAGAATCATCCCCGTTTGACTCATACAACTATAGTTACTAAATCTTCACCATCCGTCGGTTAGACAACCACACAATCGGTTGCTTGTGTTTCGGCGTATATCGTACTAATTTTAATTGCAACTTGTTTTGTGGTCATAACTTAGTTATATTGTCAGTTGACTTGCTCCTCTGTCGCAAAAGCTATTAAGTTTTCGAGTTGATTCGCTGCTATATTAAAATGGGAACAAATAATTAGAAAATGAGCGCAAAATAATTAGTGGTCAATCTGAGTGAAACGACTGCTGTTCAAACTGCCGCTAACACACCAAATAAATAACCTTGATAGGATCGATCACTAAGTTTGGTAAATGAGACATTGGTGACTGACAAAGCACATGCATCTGTGACATAACTCCGGATGAAGTAGAAGCTCATGCATACAAACATTCTCATACAATGCCATTAGATTCCTCTGACAGGAGGTAATCCATTATCGTTTCCGCATTCCTAAAAGATCGCGCGTCACTAGCAGCAGTTACTGGGAAATAAACCCAATGTCAGTTATCCTTTTAGGTTGTAATCGAAACACTTGAAGCAGATAGCACAGGGCTCTGATCCTCAAAACTCCTGTGCTACTACTATATCGCTTGGCAAGCGTTTTGACTGAATACGGAATCTGTCTTGTGCTTCCGAAATGCAAAGTACCGCCAAATGTTCGTGTCTGCTCTCACTCCTGCCGATCAAAGGCTAAAATTCATCCGTGACTCGGCAGTTGAATCCTATCTGGCTGAGAGATAGTTAAGGGGATCCATAGAAGTATTGGGCATCTTCATCCAGGCTTTTCTAGTTTGAGGCATAATAGTGTATTCAAGTGACACCAATCTGCCACTTAAAGCTGGAGCAAACAGTACAATATGTGTGGGTCTCTTATGGTTCTGAAACCTGTCCAATTTCTACTAAATATTTTCTTCTCTTATTAGTATTTTATAACCTCTGCGTTCTCAGAATTGCTCAATTTAAATAGGAACAACATTTAATTAATAGTCAAGTGAACCGAATTTCAGGCCCTGTAAATCACTTTCTCAAAAACGTCCTCTTACTGCACTGTTTACGATGAATCGGACACATATTGATAAGTCCCGCTCGCAATAACCACTACTCTATTTATGTACACTAGGCACGGTTGAAAGCAGACTTATTGAAGAAGCTAACAGATAATCTGTGGAGTGTAGGCCTACGTTGATTTCTAGGAAGAGGTTGAAAGAGCCCAGAATGCCTGCAGCTACAAACACTGAAAGACATGACTTGTTAATGCACTTAGAACTGAAGTTGTTTAACCTGCTGTCCTTCACTCGTACCTTACCACAAACGTAAAAATAAATCGAAATTGCATGAAATGAAATTACGCACAAAACAATCAGAATGTCAATTTGAGAGTTTTTTCGTTCTCATCCCTAAATACCTATTGTTACCATCTCTTCAACTTTACTACCAGGATTTGATTGGAGCACCATCTGAAAACAGAGCAACGCGAATTATGCATATGGGAATGTTTTATCTTTATCATTTACCTACAAAACAGTTAGATGTTCGTCCAGAGGATAGTGGAAGTCGGCGGAGGGAATACAGTAAACATCGTGTTTTGGCAAAATCATAAGAAAGTGTATCTTCTAATATGTTTTCACTCTTTGGCAAAACCAGAACACGTGCTTACTTGATAACGTATATCATGACTATGCAACGTTAACCCTTGGTATGTCGCAATTCCTGATGCTTACTCACTTGATCGTCGACCGATCTACGGGTTGGATATTGACCAATCAACATGCGACGTCCCATTTAGTCAATGACGTTTCCCATTGAGCGATACTCCATTAATAATGTTCTCTGATCAAGATACTCCTGTGAGAAATGCACACTGATATTAGCAGTTCATGATGGTGTTCTTTGATGTGATCACGTGTGAGTGCCCATCTATGAGACAACGGAGAGTGCACACCTTGCGTCTCCGTTTAGCTTTCAACATCAAAGTCGACATCTCAAACACAATGAAATTGACGCTTTAAAGAATAAAGAAAGCAATAAAGAAACAAGGCGAACCAGCCGATTATTGATCTACGGACAATGCAGGTTGTGTGCATTGCACAAAAAACCGTTTTTAAACCGTAGTTTTTGCACTCATCTATAGCTAATACATTTCCTTATCTCAAAACTAACCTGAGCATCTTTCGATTGAATACCGAACCTATTTGATTGCTTGACACAAAAACCCACAATTGTCTCTCTGTCGGTATCAAGCGCAAGTGTACTCATACCAAGTATTCAGTATCGCGTACCGCCTTTGAGACAAAATAACTTATCGTCAGTTGTGTTTTACGAGAATTTATTGATACAAATGAATCAAAAGTCTGGTGGTAATCCAACTCTTTTGGACACTATGAGATATTGGACTCCCATTGGACGATCAACCGACTGAGTCTCGAAAACATGAGATTGTGGGTGATCGAAAGAGGGACTTGCTTCGCTGTTCTTCATTTCAGTCACGTTAAGTCAGCAGTATGTACGAACAAGGTTGTGGATGGAACGCAATCTGGTTCGGGATAGTCGGGGCGTGCCTAAGATATGGTCATACAAAACCGGTCCTTGTCCATAGGCGCGCCCAGTTAGTCAATAAGCCGTCAGATACACACACAGGAATAAACATCTATTCCTTAAAGTTGTGCTAATACTATGGAGCAGCAAATAAGCAGTGACATCAAGACCGTCCTTTTGACGCATGGGTACGAGTGCAACAGTATGATCAAGGAATATGAGTCGGATTATTATTGCGATGCAAGGTGGTTCACGGTGAGGCAGGACGGGGTGTAAAAACAGTGAACCAATTTATGACGCAGAAAGAAAAGGACTTCAAAAATGGGCGTGATCATGGAGGCTAGGATGAGGTGACTTCAAAATGGTGATTTGTAGAATGTGTTTATGTCACATCGTAAAATGATTCCAATCCAGGATACTCCCATCGCGTCGGACAAACATCATGTCAGACAAGGTAGGAGATTTTCATGTGTTTATATTTCTTATACATTCCCGTTGGTCTATGAGCTTTGAACTCATTCAGCAAAGATTGCACAAAGTTATTTGAATAATTTTCTACCCTGATCCATAAGAATTCGAAAACGTAATTTAAAACTGCACTACAATACTTCGAATCTAACTTGGTTCATAAATTCATCATTATAAGAGAATAGATTAGTGAACAAGCTCGTTTGCGGCAATTCTTCTACAGGCTAATACATCACAATTTATACCTAACTGTTAAGCACGAAGGGGGGGGGGAGAAAAGTTGGAAAAGAAATGATGAACATTACAGTTTCATGATCGGATTTTTCTCACACTTGGGTCCTCACACATGCTCACTGGTTCGGGTCTTTAGGGGTGGGTGGAGGGGTGACTGTGTCGTGTGTGGTGTTGGCCATGGAAGACCGAATGGTTCTTGGGAGCATAAGAGGGGATTATGTTGGGAGAATCCGATCACCTCCGCTGCTGATCGCAGCGGCTTTTAATCCTCTTAGATAGTCTGCTGCGAACTAAGTTCTATTCCAAATTATAGTGACTTTTTTACCTTGTTTAACAGTTTGACATAAATTGTGAAGTATTCGCCTGTAGAAGAATCGCGGCAAACGAGCATTTTCGCTACTCTGTTTTCTTATAATGTGTAATGATGATATGTATTCATCAGTATCTTCCATATTTCTCTTACGATTCTATGGATAAATTTTCGTGACACAAATCTTATCTTCTTTATTAAATCTTATCTACCTGTCACTCAGCCGACTCACTCAATTAACAACGTGATTCGGTTAACGTCAAAGCTTCCGCGTTACACATCATGTCCAGTAAGATCATCCAGAGGCATGGAAGAAGACGTTCAAAGTGGAACCAGCGATTGGAACAGACCAAACGATGCAGATGATCAATCTCGTCAGTCATACTCGGTACGATCCCTTAGACTACTCTATCGATCACCAAGTTTGAACGAGTTAAATACAGTGCGGAATGTAGTCATCTCAATGAACACGGAGGGAGGACTGGTTGGGGAATGCCACAAACGTCATTTATTCATGGACCCCGTGCATAGCAAACGTAAAAAGTCGACTTTCAACGGTGAGTTTTTGTAAATATGCTCCCCCTTCGGCCTTCCACTTTTTGGTAAAAGTTCGAAAATTGTAAAAATATAAATAGAACAGCTTCACATCTGGATTTACTTGCACAAAAAAGACAATCAAGGATGTAGGATAAAAGCAAATCGATTGGGTACATGAATATGGAGAGCGAACTTTGGTAAATTGTTTGTTGCATTATAATTTATGTGCTGGACCAATTTATATTTTCTACTCGTGAGGTAGGAGCTTAAGATGAGGATCAAAACCTCGAGCACGTTTAATTTGTTTTAATATTGAGTCTGATTTGGATTGAGTTTCATCAGCATAAGGAAAGTATCCTAGGTCTCCACCCAAAAAAGAAACACCATAACTTTTGGCTGAAATTTGAAGTAGTAGTCTCAATTTTGGATAGCAATAATGCATCAACCACTGACTTCATTGTTCATTTGGTCTTTAGCCGTGACCAGAAACATCGAGGCGGGAGTCGAAGGAAAATACTTGATTACGTTTCAGTTACTGTCATATATTGAAGCATTTCGGAAAATAGGCCTACTGGAAGTATGTGTGCGTATGTATGTTCAATCGGTTCAGTTTTATTATTTATTGGTGTTTCGACCATCGAAAAATTGTCCGCTTGGTGGCATGCATAAATTTGTTTTATTAGACAGTAAATGGTTACACATTGCGTCGAAGACTGTTGGGCTTTTGCAACAATATCAGATTTTTTCAAATTTTCATTTAAGTTTGGTTTTCCCATGAAGACATGCTCGGATCAAATGACTTTTGTCGCCATATTGTGGATTTTGTATTCAGAATTAGTGTATATTAGTATATATTGTGGTTGTCATAAGATCACCATACTTAGGTTAGACATCAGTTTAAGCAAACTACTGGCATAAGTAAGAGTCGATGCTTTTACACATTATTTGTTGTAGTTTCACACCTCGCTCGGGGACATCATTCCTCGATATTCATTATGAATAAGTAACTTAAATGAAAATAGCTTGTGTTAGTTCCAGCATCTTTGAGTATATCCGGCCTTGTGAAAATGTGGTATATCTCAATTGACTCATATCAGTGTATTTTAAACGGAATAGGAGCGCGTATGTTTACGTATAATCATAACTATGTGCCGAAGTTTCCTTTGTGAGCAATCATCTTTGCGAATCGCCAGTGTGAAGCATAAATAGATAGAGAGCATACAAGCGGATGAGGCAAAATGTGAGCCAATTGCGCAACTGCCGGTAGCCACACACATACAAACACACGCCAACTTCCGTGCGCCATCCACTTGTTCCCTTCATCCTCCTCTGTTCAACGTGCGACACATGCACGAGTGTTTGTGGCTATGGCAGCAAGATTTTTCTCTTAACATGCACTCGCATACACCTACAAACACATTTACACAGAAGTATCCTCGTCATCGTCATTCTCTTTAGTTGGAATGACGTCACAACCAGGGCCTTAACCGTCTGACTTTGTTCTCTTCCTTCCTGCCCTTACCCCACTGTGCTGTGTCCCAATCCTTGTTCTGTGTAGTTTCTTTTTGTTCTTCCGTTTGTCCGTCCGGCCGACAGTCTGAATCGCCCGCCTGATCAGCGTTCGTTTGCATACTAACCGGGCTGTATCGACCCGTCCTGGTCGTGGAATGACGATGATCAGCTCATATAAAATAGGCCTTTGCTACTGTGCTGTCAACCGGCCTTTCATGTTGCTAAAAGCTCTGAGCGCACGCATCCCATTTTCTGGAGTAACTTATCTTGGTCCAATCTGGACTAGGGCAATACAATGACGTTAACAACTGGTATTTTTGTCTTTGTGGCATGGAAGGAAAGATATCAAGCATGATAGGTCAAGGACAATTTCAAGGTAAAATGTAAAGCTACGAAAATCTAAAAGAATAGGTCAGCACGTTCACTCTGGAGGTTCACTTGATGGGAGTAATCGTTAGGGTACCGGTTACGTGCGAGCGCGTGAGGAGAGTCTCAATAAAGTTATTGTAATCAACCAACTGACACTGTGACCCATAGCCTTGTACAAAATTGTGACTAGCTGTAAGAGATCACTGCATGATACACATTCTATTTTCAGTTAACTTGCTCTTATGCATCAGTTTAGATCCCTGCTTATCCATTCACTCGCTCAATATCAGCTTCGAGGAAGGTACTCCGAATAAAGTCCAACAGCCAAAATTGAAAATCGTTAGTTATTGAGCAAATACTTAACCAGAACGACAAAACTTGGTTTAACTGAGCTTAATTGAACGTATAATTATGGGGAATATGGTATGGATGATCAGCGCTCAGTTATCACACTAAATTTTTACCATCAGATACGTTTTCTTTGTCTCTCTGTTTGTTTGTCCTTCTGTCTATTGTGTGTCTGGAGTGCCTTTTATTATTATTAGTTATTATACATGGAATTTAACATATATCTGAGTACAGACAGTACACATTTTTCTCAAACAGGGAAATCCCATTGGCTCCTGCTGGTTGGTGTTTCTTATGGTCACAGGGGTCGATATATATTTCTAGCGTAAATGAGAGTTGTAAAACATTTGTTTAAAGTAAGGTGTGTGGAGAATTCACTGAATTTCAACGTTTATGGTGGGCTTAGTAGTTAGCTCGGAGACAACCACTCCGGCCTCTTCAGGCGAGTAGCAGACCAAACCACCGGACAAACACCTTGAGAAGCTCGGTTGAATCATACTGGGGGAAACAGTTGACCGAACTTCGAGACATGTGAAGCAAATAATTACATGCCCTGTTGAATAAGTTCGGAAAGTTTCCAGGCAAAAAGGAAGAAAAGAAACAGCCATTCCAGGGATGATAATCCAGAAAGCTACCACATTTAACTGGGCCGTATTACCATAGTGTTTTTCCAGAAATGAGAAGGGGCATGAGTTAGATTGGGTATTTGTATTTGCATAACTTGTGTAGGCTTATATGCTTACATTTCAGTTAGAAACTGAAATGACTGGGGTTCAATTAACCAACAGAAGTTAATGCGGTGACTATGGAAAAAAAGTAAATGAAATATGAGGCAAGTTGAAATTTATGGGCCTGATCACCAGTATGGTTGGGGATAGGAGTGAGGAAGTCAACGAGCTGGTATCTATTGTTCATCAGGGTGAATTCTTCTGATTCGTACCCAAATTACGATGAAGAATGCAAGAGCCATTCTAGGATGTGGAGTTTAAAATCTCAAAGAGTGTGCGGATGTTAAACGCGGCTAATTGTAAAGAGAATTTCGGTTTCAACAATCCCGTAACTTCTGATTGTTTGATCCTAATGGTAAACGGTGAGTGATATTCTAAGGGTGGCGTACACCGAGGACATTTCCGATTGTTTGAGATTGTGAAGACGAACTAGACAGATAGAAAGGAGGTTTTACCAAATGGGTGCCTAAAACTTTGGGGAAAGGCAAGACATTCTTCACGGTAGTCAACACCGACGAAGGGGATTTTCTTTGATCATCGGAGCCTTTGACTCAAAAGTCTGACCCACATGGCAGTGGGGCGTAGATCCAAAGCCGGAGCGTGACCGAAGCATCCGTGTGGGAGCTTCTAGAGACCTGTCACAAAAAACCTTTGGGTTTCGGTTCAGTATTTTGTTCGCTGGTGCGTTGATTGTCGGTCTGCTGTTCGGGATCGGCCCTAAATCTGATGCACTCGGTGAGACAAGCTGAACGCGAACAGGATAGCAACTTATTGATTGGGGCTGCCCATCCTGGGCAGGCGGTGGCCGTTTAATGAAGTGCAAAGACTTCTCTTAGCGTCGAGAGGAAGCCCCATGTACCCCGCTCCTAAATCCATCTAGTAGGATTATTGTCCGGTACACTACCCTTCATTGAGTTTATCAACTCCATTGACCTCTCTAAGGATGTGAGTGGATAGTCAGACGGAGCCAGGCGGTGCCCAGTCAGCTGGCCTTGTGAGAGTGAGCTTTGTCTATCATTCACCGTTTGACCTTCTGGGTATGATTTGATCTACGGCTGTGAAAATCCATCCTGCATAACCTGTGGGGCCGTGGAGGCACGCATACCATCACACCACGTCAAGATGCAGTCTGGTCGTGATGGAAAGTGTAATAAAATTATGTGTACGTGTGTGTGTTGGGAGGTTGCTTGTAATGCATTTCCGATGCATTCGTGTTTACGGTTTGTACATTTTATTGGTTAGGAAGTGGAAAAGGGCTCATGCATGGTGGTAGCAAACCTATAAAGCACTCCAGTCAATGTTTACCATTATACACCTTGTTTTTTTATCAATAGCGGATATCATCCCATTGGCCTCCATCTGACGGTCGGGATGAACCAACTTTAGTTGATGGTGCCGTTAACTTATTTGTGTTTCAAAGCGGTAACCCTGTGGCACCGGGTTTCATGAAACGCACTTGCGTCCGGTGCAATGCAGACGCTTTGGATTGACAAAAGCCAGCAAGGGATTTTTCCGTGCAGTAATCAACTAAACAAGCGCCCATCGAGAGATTAGAAAAGGAAACGATCGATAAGCCTGAAGGGACGGTTTTCGGATCATACCTGCGGTATTGAAACTTTTAAGCCATAAAATAAAACTCTGACCTCTATGGAAAGTCAAGCCACAGACTAGCTTAAGTTTTCGGTGATTGTATTTTCAAGTTATTAATATCATATTTATAAGTGACGCAGTGGAGGTAGTATACAGTGAGTGAAGCAGATTAATTTAATCGCATTGGCTTCGTTATCTCCTGGGGGCGTTTAGAGAATGAGGAGATATGGCTCACGACTGTGTGGCAAGTAGATAAAGGCTGCCCGGTTATAGAAAATAATGTGACCCCTTCTTTGAGCTTGCGGACTGTTTGATCGAGCGATTTTCGGCCGTGGAAATTGGAAAGTCTGCGTCACCTATCNCTATCCTTCCAGATACGCGAGCTACGAAAATTTAGACGGAACTATAATCTTTTGTTTATCAATGCATTTTTCCTGTCATAGTTTATTGTTTGCCCTTTATTTCGCCCATTA